TGTATCTAATCCCTGTTGTCGAATGTCCATACATACTCTTCCTATTCATAGTTCAATTCGAATTAAAGCATGGTGTCTACTCTAGAGAAGTGTTTGAAGAGCTCCCCCCTTGGGGTGTGATTTATGAAGCTTGAAGACTTCTCTATTTATAGGGCTAAGAGGGAGGAACATCATGATGAATTCCAACACCACCATTCCTCTTTTAATACAATCCATAACTCCCACTTCATCTTGTCTATGTTAGTGTGGTTGGAATCAATCCCATCCCATACTTCTTTTGCTGCACCTCAAGCTTTCTTCACATGGGATTTCAAAGGTGTTCAATTGTGGCTGCCATTTGCTGCCAACCCATGTGGGTTTTCTTTTGGTTGCTGGAAAAAACGATTCTTCTGAACCAGGCTTGGTGTAGGAAGGGCTGAGGACTCTAGATATGTTCAATTGGGCTGAAATTTGGATATGTTATAATAGACACCCATTGGAACAACTTCTATGAACAATGTCTCCTCATCCGAGTTGTGAAGATTGCTGAAATGAGACCTGCAAGGTGACTTACGAAACTGGACTGACAAGGAATGTGGCCCAAATTTGGTTTTGTCTTTAAGCTCTTGCTCTTATCCCAATCAGCCCTTAACATGCATGGATTGCATCTTTTCCTATCCAAAGCCACCATTGTTACCTAAATCTCAATGAACTAAAAGATGAACACAAAAAAAGATTAAAAGCACAAGTTTAACTCAAAAACATAATCAAATCATAAGTTAGAAGGGTACAAAATAATATATAAATATGCACCGATCAGTTATGCTGCCATTGACTGTTACAATCGGTTGAATCCATCTTATGAAGGTCGAATTCCTCTTGCCAAGCTCTCTGCTATGTGTGCCAATACTTCCTCTTCCAATTCTCTGTGGCTTGCTGACTCTGGTGCTAGCTCACACATGACCAATGATTCATCTCATCTTCATATGTCTACTCCTTATATTGGCTCTAACAAGGTGTTTGTAGGCGATGGACAAGGTTTGCCCATTCTCAACTCTGGTTCTTCTCTATTGCACACTCCATCTTCTACATTTCATCTTTATAATGTGCTGCATGTACCTCAAATTGCACATAATTTGGTGTCTGTGCATAAATTTACAAAGGATAATCAGTGTTCTATGGAATTTGATGAACACGGCTTCCTTGTTAAGGATCGAATCTCGGGGAAGAAGCTTTTTCAGGCCCTTACACATAATGGTCTCTATCCTCTTCAAGGTCTTCTTCATCACTTTCCCCTCACTGGCCATGTTGCTACAAAGGCTTCCTACAACACTTGGCATCAAAGATTGGGTCATCCTCTCCAAAATCCTCAATAAAGTGATTACTCATGGACTTTTGCCTTTATCTAATGTTGTTCATGGCTCATTTTTCTGTTCTAATTGTGCCTTGGGGAAGTGTACTAAACTTCCATTTACTGCTTCTTCAAACGTTGCTTCTACACCACTAGCCTTAGTGCACTCTGATGCAGGGACGGACCCAGAAATCTTACCTTATGGGGTCATAGTGTAAAAGTTCGAAATTTTTTATAGATCAAAATAACATTAGAAATGAAACGTTCATTCATAATTCATATAAAAAAACAACATTACAAACTACAATTGTCCACGACGAGATTTCATATTTTGAAAACGTAGCATTATAACTTCATTTTTAATACAAGCAAAAATATCATTCTCAACGTAAACAAGCATATTATCACTCAACAATTGATCTTCCATTTTGTTTCGAAGTAATATCTCACATCAATTAAAGAGAACACTAAATTTGTACCAATGAACTACAAAAAAATTCATATATGAAACATCCAATAAATCGAAATAAAATAATAAAATCATAATTTCAATTCAATTAATTTAGGCTTAGAGTTAGAATTTACTTGAATTGTTATGTGGTGGATGTGGCAGCAAGCTTTTGGCAGTGGCGGCAACAATTGAGGAGATGGGGGTTAAAGGTTTTGTTGTGTGTGTGTGTGTGTGGCTGGGGGGGGGAGAGGGATGGAGGGTTCAGGACTAAAGAATTGGGGTTTTGGGCATTGCTGGGATCGGGTGTGGAGGGGTATTAGAATAGCTGGGCTGTTTTTATTTTTATTTTTAAAGACCTGGACCAAAACGACGTCGTTTTGGCCAGGTCATTTAAAAAAAGAAAGAAATTCGCTGGGCTAAAACGACGTCGTTTTGCCCAGCATTTTAACAAAAAATGAAGCAGCGCGCTGCTTCTTCTTCTTCCTCGTGCAGCAGCCATTTCGTTCAGGCCAAACAACAAGCAAGTGGAGGGCATCCATGGGGTCGCACAGTCAGCTTAAAGGGACCTTCAAGCTTATTTCCATGGAGTCCATAGGGTCGCTTGACCCCATTGACCCCACTGTGGGTCCGTCCCTGCTCTGATGTATGGGGACCAACCCCTGTTACTTCTTTCAGTGGTTATAGGTATTATGTACTCTTTGTTGATGACTGTACAAAATTTTGTTGGTTTTATCCAATAAAGACAAAATCTGCTGTCTTTCAGACATTTCTGCATTTCAAAGCCCATGTTGAAAAGTTGTTATCTCTTTCTATTAAGGCCCTAAGATCATATTCAGGGGGTGAATTTCTTAGTACTGCTTTTGTGACCTACCTCAAGGATAATGCCATTGCTCATCAACTTAGTTGTCCTCACACTCCCCAACAAAATGGGTGTGTTGAGCGAAAACACAGACATTTGGTTGAAATTGCTAGGACTTTAATGGCTGCTTCTAAGGTTCCTCATCAGTTCTGGGTTGAAGCCTTTACAATTGCTATCTACCTTATCAATCGACTTCCTATTTCTTCCAAAACTATCTCCCCTTTGGAACTTTTACTCAAAAGAAAACCAGATTATTCTCAACTTAGAGTGCTTGGTTGTGCTTGCTATCCTTGGCTCAAGCCTTATACCTCATCCAAACTCGATCCCAAGAGTGTTTCTCGGTTATAGTCTTCATCATAGAGGCTATAGATGCCTTGATCTTCAAAACTCTAGTCATGTTTACATCTCTAGGCATGTTCTTTTTCATGAAACAGATTTTCCATTTCATACTCTGCCTTTAGTCTCCTCTCCCTTGCCTACTCCCTCTTCTCCTTCACCAAGCTCTCTCACTTTTTCCATCCCCATCTCTCCCCTTCCTACTTCACTTCCTCCACAATTTGCCACTATACACTCTGTCTCTCCTGCTGCTGCTTCTGTTCCTGTGGTTCCCCCTCTCCCACCAATTCAACCCACTCACCCAATGCAGACTCAATTCAAAAGTGGAAAATCCAAACCTAAGGCCTACACTGCCACTAAACATCCTCTGCCAAATTCCATTATTCCTACAGATTTAGACTTTGTTCCCACAACCTACCTTCAAGCCCTAAGTTTGATCATTGGAGACAAGCCATGGAAGAAGAGTTTAATGCTCTCCAACTCATTGGTACTTGGAGTTTAATGCGCTCTTGTCCTCAACAGAATCTTGTAGGTTGCAAGTGGGTTTTTCGAATCAAACGAAAACCTGATGGTTCTGTGGATAGATATAAGGCTCGCCTTGTTGCAAAAGGTTATCATCAACAATAAGGTGTGGATTTTGGTGAAACATTCAGCCCTGTGGCCAAACCAGTCACCATTAGACTTTTGCTTACCCTGGCTGGTTTCTTAATCAATTGGATGTCAGTAATGCTTTTCTCCATGGTTTTCTTAAGGAAGTTGTCTATATGGAGTAACCCCCCGGCTTTGTGGATTCTTCTAAACCTCATGTATGTCAACTCCATCGTTCTCTTTATGGTCTAAAGCAGGCTCCACGAGCTTGGTATGAAACACTGCATTCAATACTTCTTTCTCTTGGTTTTAGTGTTTCACAGTTTTATACCTCTCTTTTTATCAAACGAGTTCCTTCTTTGGTTATTGTTTTAGTATATGTGGATGATATTATCATCACAGGTCCTTCTACTTTGGCCTGTACCTTTGTTATTACTCAGTTGGGTGCCCTATTTCAAGTCAAGGATCTTGGCCCTCTTCATTACTTCCTCGGTCTTGAGGTTCAGAGATCATCCACTGGTTTGTTTCTTTCTCAAGCCAAGTATGCCACTGACCTTCTCACCAAGGTGCACATGACTGGTGCTAAACCTTGTGCCACTCCTGTTGGTTCTGTAAAATTGGATC